TTCTGCGTGAAACTGGTCCCTGGTACAAAAAAGGTTGGGGACCACTGATTTAAATGGCTGCCTATCTTTCAATGGTGACTTTGTGATGTTCTGAATATAATCTAAAAACTATACATTAAGATTAAAGATAAACACGTATTTTATAGTGTCTGTAACAAATGCATAGTTAATGATGAGTTATGTTAGCAATTGAATATTGGCAAAATTAGATATATTTCTTAATTTTCCAACTAAAGACAAAAAAGGAAAATACTAAAATCTGTTTATATGTTTAGCATGTCAATTGAGTTGAATTCCACATACTTAGTAAAAAGCACCATACTGTCATTGAACTCTGCATGTGATTCAGCACAGGGATTTTCAAGCCTTTTCAAGTTATGGAAACAATTTATATATTTTTTTTAAATTCTCGTACTCACAAGAGGTAGCACGTTGACTATGTTTGAACTCTCCCCCCCCCCCCCCCGCCCCCAATCTCTCAAGGAACCACATCAAGTTCTCATGAAACCCTAGTGAGAACAAGGGTACAATTTGAAAAACCTGATTTTGTGCACAAAAGCAATCTAGGTAGTATATAAGCAAACTTATCAACTGAATGAGTAAGAGTTTTACACTGATATGGAGAGATCACATTTCACGTTGCCAGGATAAAAGCCTTTATAAAGCATCATCTATCTTGTAGTGAATTTATTCAGATAAATATGAATAAGGACACGTGCCAATTAGAAACAATTCAATTAAAAAGATAATGGTTTCATAATGAACAAAACCTCTTGACAAGAAAAATTATGGTTATCACTGACAGAGATAAATCTCCTGCAGGAGCCATATTCATAATATTTCCATTGTGTTTTCAATCAGTATAGGCATTACCTATATATTCCTGTCCAGTGAGAAGGCCAATGGCACCAATGACCAATTTGAACTCTACCAAGAGTTTAGGTGTGAATTATGTTATACAGGTAGTCCTTGACTTATAACCTTTTGTTTAGTGACCATTTGAAGTCACTACAACATGAAAAAGTGATAAGATTGTTTTTCACACTTGGAACCATTGCAGCATCCTCATGCTCATGTGATCGAATTTGGACACTTGGTAACTGGCTCATATTTATAACATCTGTAGTGTCCTGGGATCATGGATCATCTTTTGCGTCTGTCTGAGAAGCAAAGTCAATGGGGAAGCCACCCTCACTTTACAAGTGTTACTAACTTCAAAACTGCAGTGATTCACTTAACACTGTGGCAAGAGAGTCATAAAATGGGACCAAACTCACTTAACTGTCTTGTTTAGCAATAAATATGTGGGGCTCAATTGTGGTCATAGATCTTAACTCTTAACCAGACTGTTAAGTATGCTTTGCTCCTCATGGAGGCAAGCTTTGCTGCTATTAGACAATGAAATTTGTTGGGTCAAGTCTTTAAGCTTCCTCTAGTAGCCTTTACCTATGAATGTTCTTGACTACTTAATAAGAATCTGAGCTGTGTTATTTTGTCGTACCTTCCTTTCTTCTAGATAATCTATACTTAGGCATAGCCAGTCACTAAAAAGGAATAGGGAACTGGATATAATAGACAACTGGACAGAATTGCAGGTGTTTTGCTTGTTTTGTTTGTTGAAGAGGTATCTTTTTTACTGGGGGAATACACCAAGACCGTTCTTACTCCTAGCAAATGCTCAGGATGGAGCGATCCCTGTTAGGAAAGGCAAGTCCTCAGTTGCCAGCAGAATCGAGCTAGACTCTTTCACGCTAATTCGGGCAGTGGTGGCTATGCCGGTCAGACCAGGGGAGCCAGCCAACCGATTGCAAGAGGACGACTTCTGACATCCGAAAGACAATCCAGGAACGCTACTCTGTATTTGCTCAAGAAAAAGCTGAAATAGGATCTAGACCAAAACCCGTCCAACCTGAGCAAAAGACTGAGTAAAAAATGGAACCACAGGCAAAGTAGGTGTGTCCTCAGAACTTGGACTCAAGTCTAATGAGCGACGAGACAAGAGTTCCTGGATTCTCTCATCAGCACACTGAAGAACATATCATTACTTCTAACTTTTAGTTTTGATACAATTTTGGGGGTTTATTTATTTTATTTGAGTGCATTATGTCTGTTTGTTTCTTACATTCTATTTATTTTTTTGCCACAAACAAAAGTGATTGTTGATAATGGGGGAAGCAATTTCTGAGGCAATTTAATTTTTAAATCAGTTACAATTTAAAAAATAATTGTGATTGCTTAGCACATCAAAATTTACCTAGGATGTCTGTATAAGATTATCATTTTTAATAATGCATGGGAAACATTTGTGGCATCTACTTCAGGGTTTCAGAGGCAGAATGCAAGCTGGCTTAAAAGGCAGAAAATATAATACGAATGAAGGCAAATATACATATCCCAGGATAATGTTGCAAGAGCCAATCTGGATCAGTCACTGGGACCAGAGGTCTTCTGAGCTTTTGGACTTGTGTTGGAGCCAATCTTCAGGGAATTTTTCTCTCACCAGAATGTGTCCTTTGGGCTAGTCTATGTTTATTTATGTGGTGCCTATTGGTTGATTGGTGTATTGATGGCTGGCAATTAGCTGTTGTTTCCTTGTGCTGCCAAAACTACAAGGTTTAAATGTGACTCTTGATGAGATCATGATTTCCTCTGACATAGTGTCCCTATTTATATCCACCCCTCCTCACTTAGCATACAAATAATTGATTTTTAAAAACCAGAAGAGTACAACACACATCAGAACAATCTAACCAAGACACAAATCATGAAGTTACTCCAGTATTGCCAGCATACCTTATTCATGTTCAAAAGGGAGGTGTATGACCAAAAAGAAGGGACATCTATGGGATCCCCAGTATCAGGAGTCATTGCAGAAACTGCTGTGTGAACTAGAACATCATCACGCATTTCAAAACTACACATCTAAATTTTGGTGCTCCTATGTGGGCAACATCAACAAAAGAAATGCACTGAAAGATTTTCATACTGTACTGAACTTCATCTTTTCGGACATACAATACAAGGAAGAAACAGCTAGACAATTACCATTTTTAGGTATGCTTGTCAATAGGCAGGAAGATAGAAGCCTAGAAACCAGGATTTATTGCAAGGCCACCAATACTCCACATATTCTTAGTTTCAACAGTAACCATCTACCGTCACAAAAAATGTTGCCTCAGGACACCAAATGCAGGGTGAAAACTCATGTAGTGTAGTACACAGCACGCTAGATAACTGGAAAGAAGGTACCTACATGAACAATTCAGGCAAAATGGGCACCCACAAGCATTTATTACAAGATACCTATGCAACACACAAGAAAAATGAAGAAAGAAGGTGTAAGACTATGGCACACCCTGCTAAATATCAAAAACATTTCAGTAGCAGTAGAATGCAGCTTCTGACATTTGCAAGTGGGCATTGCATACTGCCCAGAGGCTACCGTATGAGGACAAATCACGCATTGCAAAGATCACATGGAGGTAGGACATATTTTTAACGTAATTTACTGGATTCCCTGCATGGATTTTGCCCCATGACTATGTAGGATGGACAGAGAGGAAGCTAACCACCAGATCACAAGAATACAAGCAAGTGGTTAGACAAGTAGACTCAAACTCATTGGTAACCTCACCTAGCTATGAACAAGAACATATAGTCAATTTTGCAGTTATTACCAGTAAGACTGTTGACTGCAGGTAGAAACATAGCCGGGGAAATGACTGAAGTCTAGGGAACATGCTCCTTCTCAGTCAACAGAGTACTGATTTACCACCAGCTTACCAGGTATTTAGAAGCCATGGACTTGACAGTACACCAATCAACCAATAGGAAGGTACCATATAAATACAATCATAGAATAGCTCACATTTTGGTAGAGAGAGGTTTCCTGAGAACAGGCTCCAACACAAGTCCAAAAGTTTGGAAGACTAAATCTCTGGTCCCTGTGACTGACCCAGATTTGATCTTGCAGAAAATATATTGTTCTATGCTTGGTAGACAGCATAACTGTATTCATATATCTCATCTTTATATGTTGGAAAATGTATAGAATTTCATAGCGCAATAAATAATATAAAAAGCAAAGTGAAACTCTGAACTTCCTTCTTGAAAAAAAATGATATTTTTTATCATGATGGAACAACAAATAAAATATTCAGAATCACTGACCTAATTCATATAACATTTCAATAAATCTGTTCATTAGAATATCATATGAAAACTCATACCCTTGCCTTTTATGCTAATTTAATATTTCTAGGCAACAAGCGTATACAAAATGGATACACTGAAAAATCTAAGGCTTATTTCTACTTACATAATAGTTGTCATTTATTTGTACCATTGGTGCATTTACACAAGCTCCCAAACATTCAACTTCAGTTACAGTGAAAAGTTTGTCAGATGTAGTTTCCCCAACTTTTATACCTGAGGCAAGACAAATTAGTTTGATTTATAATAAAGCAAACTGTAAACATGAAAACTTTATGTCCATTTGTCCCAATACAGACAATGTTCCAAAATAGATCATAGCAGTTGAAGTAAATTCAATACTGAATTATAAAATTAGCATATGTTTCCCAACCTGTTCTCGCCACTAGAGTTGCAATCCTGTTTATAGGAATGTATGGGTACATAGCTGGCTGTTAGATAATACAAGAAGCCAAATGTTATCTTAAATGAAGGCATTAATTTTATTTCATAAACTTCACAAGAAACTATTTTGTAGACTGTCGAAGAATGAAATAGTATCTTAAATTTCAACAAGCTTAAACGTATGCATCTTGCCCCTTAACGGATCTCATACCACAAAAAGCCAAAACGTTAGTGTCATCTTCTCAAAAATCGGAAATAGAAGCTGGAAAAATATGTTGATAGTACAGCTACATTTTAAAATCAGCTTTATTATAGCCATTTTAATGGAAATACTGAGTCACCAAGGTCCTGTTTTTTTTTTTTAATGATTTCATTAGGACTGTTTGTTATTACAAAAAACATTAAAAGTGTGAGTTTTTTTACTTTTGTTTCTCTTTTCTATTTGTGTGTGTCTGCATGCATGCACGCTTTAAAAAGATTTGATCTTTATTATGGTCACGGACCAACACAAAAAATTAAACATTAAAATAAAGCAAAAATAAAGAACTGAACAGAAGGTGGTACAGTAATATATTACAATTGATATCAACAGTGAGATCAATAGTGGGTGAATAAGATCTTAATTTTGACAGCATAATAAAACTTAAATATATTCAGAAAAACTAAATCATATTGATGAGACACTAGTAGTTGTACACAAAAGAGATCAAAGTTTCTGGGATGTTTAATCAGAAAAGGGGTTATAAGTCCATTATTCCCTATTGGGTGGGTGGGGGGGTTGTGTGTTAGCATTTTGGCTTTCAAGCTACAGGAACAGATTTGTTTTCATTAATCTGTATCTTGCCTTTGGATTCTTTCCAGTTGAAAGGGGAGAGTGTGTTATGGTGCTGTGCAAGTGGAGGTGGGTGGAATATGCTATGGAGTGTGTGGGGAAGTTGCAGATATGCACTACTGGTATACTTGTAATCCTTTCCAGATGGGCAATGCAGTGAGGAGCAAAGGATTCCTTGGGGGAGGGGAGAGGTTGGAGAGGCCCTGAAAGACCCAATGGAAGGTGCATGCAAATGTCTTTCCACTCAGGCTGAAAATTCTTTCACTCAGACTGAAAATTTTGTTTTTTTGGCAGGGAGGATTTTTTAAGGCCTGAATGGATCCTCCCAGGGCTTCCCCTACAGCAGGGGTGTCCAACCTTTCACCTTCCCTGGGCCACATTAGAAGATGAAAATTTGGTTTGGGCCCCACATAAAATAAAATAACAGTAACGATAGCTGATCATCCCAAAAAACCATAGAAAACATAGTTAACATATTAAATTTATTTGGAAATGAAATTAGTGAGATGTTTTTATTATTTATTATTTATTAAAAATTATTTATTTTTTATCACTTTTTTATCACAGTTTATTTTCCGGCCAAATTTTGCGGGGGGGGGGAGTGGGGGGGGGAGAAAGCTCACCCACCTCACGCCTACCTCTCCTCCTGCAAATGGCCTGGCTGGATGAGGCAGGACTGGAAGGCAGAAGCAGCAGCGGCGGGGGCAGAAGCCTTACCCCGCCACCGCTGCTGCTTCTGCCCCCGCTGCCGCTGCCCCCGCCGCTTCTTCCCCCGCCCCTGCCGCCGCTTCTTCCCCTGCCGCGGGGGCAGTGGCGGCGGGGACAGAAGCAGCAGCGGTGGCGGGGGAAGAAGCGGCAGCGGGGGAAGAAGCAGCAGTGGTGGCGGGGGCAGAAGCGGCGGCAGGGGCAGAAGCAGCAGCGGTGGCAGGGGAAGAAGCGGCGGCGGGGGCAGAAGCAGCAGCGGTAGCGGGGGAAGAAGTGGCGGCGGCGGCGGGGGAAGAAGCGGCGGCAGGGGCAGAAGCGGCGGTGGCGGCGGGGGAAGAAGCGGCGGCGGGGGCAGCAGTGGCAGCGGCGGGGGCAGCGGTGGCAGGGGAAGAAGCGGCGGCGGTGCCGGCGGCGGCAACAGCAGGAGGTGGCGCTCTGACGGCGCCCGCCTTTTCTCTTGCTGCTTGGCCTGGCACTCGCCTCGTCCTGCCTCGCGCCTGCCTCTCCTCCTCCTCGCTGACTCTGGCACGAAGCTTGGGGTGGGCACTGGGCCGCATTACGAGGCGACCTGGGCTGCATGCGGCCCATGGGCCGCGGGTTGGACAAGCCTACCCTACACCCTGAGGCATCCCACACCCTACCTGGGACTCTTAATCACTTAACCTGTTAGATTGGTCAATAATAACTCGGAACAAAGCAGTCACCTGAGCAGTCACAAAATATCTCATTCAACAACCACTTCCCTGAATTACCAATATTGCTGATATATTCAAGAACTACCTCCCTTAATTTCTCAAATTAGTGGCTTCTGTTTTCTCAGACTCTTATTTCCTTTCCCCCCTTTTCTTCTTCGCTGTAAACCAGCCTCTCAGACTAGGCAGCTCCACCATCAACAGCTAAAAAAATCCTGTTGTCCAGCTCTCCAGAGTATAAGGGTAACATCATGATTGAGTTTCTTTGCAAATATGCTTTTCATATTTGAGTACAAATATAAATTGGGTCAAGTAAGAAAAGTCAATACAACATGAACAGACTCATGATACAGGAAAATTAAGTGTTGTTTCATACCAAGCTTGTTCTGAATGGCTTCTAATATACTATCTGAATCTTGAAGCATACAAGGTGTGGTAGTGCAGACTTGAATATGATATTTCCCAACAGGCTTACGATTAAACATTGTATAAAACGTTGCTACTTCATAAACTCTCATAGGAGGCATTTGTAGAATCTCAGCAACCTATAAATAGGAGATCATTTTTTATTTGAATAATATATTTATATATATATTGGTACTTTTAGCAGAAGGAATAAAAATATCTCAATATCTTAATTTTCTTAAATTATAACTCACAGAATTATTGCACAGAGTGCAACTTGAAGTCAGTAAATACTGTAAAATTATCTGAATATTTTTAAGATTGAAAAATTTCCTTATATGATCTGACAACATTCTAAATTATTTGTTTTAAGAGAGGTACCTAATGAATATTAACATTATTTTGTGTTAATATTGTTCAGTTATAAATATGCTAAAATATCAAATTAAAGATAAGTACCTTATTCATAGCTGATATAGGTAACCATCCATGTTGTCTTTGAGCTAAATCCAGGACTGGGATTACTGCCGAAGATTTATGTCCTTCTGGGTAGTTATTTACTATTACGTCTATCCTCTATTATTAAAGAAAATAAATATTACAATAACCAATTTTACTGAAATAGAAATACAGCATTTCACTCATCAAAACATGAAAAATCATCAAAAAGGGACTAAATGGCATAAAAGCCCAAATAATTTAATAACAAAATAAAGAAAGCATACCTTATAGTTTTCAGGAGTGAAATCAAAGGGGGTATTTGGGTTGTTTTCAGCAGTATCTCTGTGCTGTATACAATAAAATGAAAAGATGGTTAGATACAGAAAAATTATAGCTCCTGTATCTTAATAATTATGATCCTTCATGAGATTCATTTTACAAAAATATGAAAAGCTGTACTAGCAACTAAATTACTGGAACCATCTTCTATGCATCATCACTCAGTAGTTTCAGAAATGTTGCATCATGCTATTTAATTATATCACACGGGATATGAAAAAAGAATACTAATAGTGAATACTTGATCATCAGTGTTTCAACTTACATGTTTATTATGTAAGCAAATTGCAATAAGTGAATGTTGCAGTAATTGGATGTAGAAATGAAAAAAAAAAGTTTATGATAACCAATACAGTTGCATGTCGTTTAATTGATCACCTAAAACTATATAAATTATTGTACCCAGTCTCATATTATAGTACAGGTAGTCCTTAAGAAATGACTGTTCGAACAACGACCGACACTCCAAAACTATATATGAACGCAGTAGGCGCAGAGCGTGTCTCTCTCCCCTGCCATTAGCCTTATGTTCGCGGGCAGCCGTGGTGAACTTTTCAATTGCCACAGGCTGGAAAGTAAGGTTGATGCTGCTCAGCCCCCTCCCCTCAGCTCGCATTTTCACCTGGAGTCCTGGATTTTCAGCAGCACAGCTGTTAGGAGTGGCCAGGAACTACATAACTGTGCTACCGGCATTGCCACTAAGCCAGCCGGCCCGCCCATCCACCAGCCTGTACCCTTCAGCCTTACCTTTGCGGTGAACAGACCTTAACCTCACCCTTCGCCCTTACCTTTGCAGTGAGCAGACCCCTGCGGGCTGGAAGATAAGAGGGGCAGCTGGAGGAGGGGCTGCGCAGCCAGCCATGCAAGGAGTGGCTGGGAGGGGAGGGGGAGGGGCTTAATCGCCACTGTGCACAGGCTGGATAGATTGAGTTGGCAGGCTGTATCTGTCCTGCAGGCCGTAGTTTGAGGATCTATGTTCTAAGTAAACATAACTCAGCAGATTGATACATTGGCCAAGTACAATAATAAATACACAATCATCTACAAGGCTATGTATAGCGCTTTTATTATTACTAATAGAAAAGTGTAATGTTATAAATGCTAAGCTGCACACAAACAAAAGCCACATTTTTCCATTTTACTTAACGTTTTGTATAATCATTTATGCAAACTACTTACCACAAATAGAGTTCCAGCACTACTCCTGCATTCTGCAGATGTAAGAAGGCAGCGGATATTTGTCACCTACAAATATTTCATACAAAGCAAATAGTTTGTATTTCCAATTACAACTAAGAAATCTAATCAATCTTAAATTATGTTTAAATCCTTACTGAATTAGATGGGTCTATTTTAAGTTACTGTACTGCTGATAATCTGTCTACACCACATATAAACAAAAAATATACAGTATTAAATGCAAAAATAGATAATATCTGTAATGTGTGTTAGTGTTTCAAATTTGCCCTTTACCTCTAAATCTCTATGATTCAAAAAAAGAAATTAACTGCAGGAAGTTTAGAACAGGAAAGATAAACAGCTTGAATTTCATCTTGCTGTAGCCTGCTCTTTAGAAATCCCTATAAGGCTCCTTTTCTACAGGAACTAAAAAGGCATCCTATCAACAGAATCTTCTGTGTTTTTGTGACATAATAATCAACCATAATCATCCCCTTCTATACATCTGCTTACATGAATAAAATTGTGATAACTAGATTACAAATCTTTAATATAGGAATATTTAACAGTTTGATTTACTATCTGCTGGCATGCTAAAGAAACGGCAAGTTCTGAAAAGTAACATTTGTTATCTTCATAATAATTTTTTGTTTCTTAAAAAAGTCTAAAACAGTCCTAATAAAATGGATTGGCAAATTATTGCAACAAGGAAGTTGTTGATTTTTGAACAAAAACTGAATTACAATGAGAAGGCATTCAACAGAAACATGCTGAAGAAACACAGTATTCCTTTGAATGAGTTTAAAACTCCAGACCAAATGAACTGGCTATAGTATTCTTGAGACTATAGGTATTCTTGAGGAATTCTGGACAACTGATAAAATAACAGTTGAATGAATGATAGCAAATGGCCCAAACCCTCCAACGAACTATAGACTAGTTGGTACAATTTCAATATCTAGGAAGATTCTAGAGCAGATAATATAATTATACGGTGCCCTGAAAATAACGTGGCAATTCTCAGAAATCAGAACCTATCTTGCTACACTAATGCGACCTCTTTTTGATCATGTAATTTTCCTAATGGATTCTAAGAACCTTGCAGCCTTACTTTTGCAAAAATGTAACAAAATAGTGGTAAGTTAATTAACAAGTTAGTTAAGACCCAGCAAAAGAGACACCACAAGGAAATTATAGGCCAATAACATACCGTTTGACTTATTTACAAGCATAATAGTAGACAAATAAAGATTTAGAAGAAAAAAATATCTTTCCAGTAGGACAGAAAGAAAAAAGGAAAAAGAGTACCAAAAATTCAAAATCTGATTGATAAAATATTGGAGAATTACAACAGCTGAAATCCCAATTTGCATATGGTGTGTATTGATTATAAAAAAGTGTTTCTTTACAAAACTCATTAGAGCATCAAATGTTTGGAAACAACTAGAATGTTTATAGAAAAAATAATGAATTAGTGGAAGACAGAATTGATTAGAATATTTCCTAATGATAAGAGCATTTCAATTATGGAAGACTGGTTAAGAGATGGGTGGCTCCCTTTCTGGATGCATTTAAATAAAGGCCATCAATCAGATGTTTAGGTGGATTTCTGCAGTAGGCAGGGAATTGGAGATGATGATCTCTAAGGTTTTTTCCAATCAGTACATCTTAACTAAAAAGAGATATTAAGTCAGATGCCACAAGGATCTCTTCTGGATTTTCTAAACATGTTATTAATATTTACAAAGGAAATGCTTATTGAGGTTGTGCAGAACACTCAATTAGGTGAGATATGTATGCTATTTTCTTAGAAGCCTGAAATCAAATTCAACACTTTGCCACATTAGAGATACAAACTGAAAATAATAGAACAAATAAAGTGAATAACTGGAATGAAATCTATCAGAAAATTGTAAAGAGTTTTGTTTAGGTAACAAACATCAAATCAGAAAGAAAAAGTTCTTTGCTTGTTTGGTAAGAATTCTTGTGAAATATAATCTTGGAATAACAATATGATCTGATGGTAAAAAATATTTCAATTTTAGATCTCAGCAACAGAATATAATTTCCAAACCCAGGAAATTAAGAATGCCACTTTTAGTTGTGCTTAGTTGTGTTTAACCCATTTTAGTGTGTGCAGAATAAAGCATCTCAAAACAATGTTTAGTTCTAGGCAGCTCCCTCTACCTTAAAAGATTCTGAGGAACTAAGTAAATTCAGAGAATGGCATTGGGATGATTTTCAGACTAAAAAGTTAAGTCACATGGAGAAAGATTATATTTAGCCATGAGAAAATATAGAGTGGGGTGTAGCAAGATGATTGAGATGGCAGCTTGATTTTTTGTTGTTTACCAAATTTATGAAAAGAGTTACACAACCGGCAAGATTAACAAATGCCTTCAGACTATTTGATGTACCTTAATTTCTATTTCAGCACTTAGTGAAGGGCTTAACCTAATTGGCCTAAATCAGGGGTCCCCAACCACTGGGCTGCGACCCGGTACCGGTCCGCAGAACATTTCCTACCGGGCCGCCGGTTTGCTGGGCGCCATCTTGTTTGATGAGAAAGTGCTTCCGGGTGAGCTTTTCCGGTTGGAAAGCGGCGTTTGGGTCCTGAAGGAATCCTCGCGCCTTAGTTTCATCAAAGGGGTGGGGGGGGCTTCGAACGAAACTAAGGCATGAGAATTCTTTCAGCACCCAAGGCAAGGCGAGCCAAGCGACCGTCCTGAAGCAAAGCCCATCGACAAAGGTACAAAGGAGGAGTTGAAGGTGGCAGGGAGAAGCAGGGGACGGCTGGCTGGCCGGTCGCTCGGCTCGCCTTGCCTTGTCATGCGTGCTGATGCCAGTACCGGGCCGTGAATCGTTTTGTGATGCCGGTACCGGGCCGCGGCACAAAAAGGGTTGGGGGCCACTATACTTTGATAGCCTCCATGCAAGAGACAATATGCAGTAGATACAACAGACATACAAGCAAATGTACTGAAGTATGAATGTTTAAAAATGATGTTGGTGCAGCTATTAGCCAGATATATAGCTGACTGTCATATAATTTTGATTAAGGAAACATTAAACAAGATATGACTGCTAGTTTAATGGATTTATTTGAAATTTTGACAGTGTCCTGGGTAGCAAATTTTTTCTGCAATGAGCAAAGTCCATTTAAATAAACCAGGTCATACAAATACAAAAATAATGCATAGTGAACAAACATAAACATACTGTCCATGTCTTTGCCTGGTATACTATTTCCTTTTGTTTATTAAAAAATAAAGATAGCATCAGGAAGCACTCAATATCTTGGACATTATGAAAAGGAAAAATGGACAGTAAATCTTTTGAGTTTTGTATTTCTAACTCGTGATCTGTAAGATTCAAGTTTCTTTTAAAAATCAATATTCATATATCTTCCACACCAATGCTACTTGCCAATAGGATAAGAGACCACAGCAGTTTCCGATACGTGTAACTATCCAACTCAAATGTACGTAGAAAATGCTGCCTGCATTACTCTGCATACAGCTTCAGCTCCTGTGTACCACTGATCAGTAAGGGTGTATTTTAACGCGAGACGACCTTTGGGGAAGCCAAGAGGTAGAAAAACCGTTCGGGCGATTATGACGATTGCAAATATTTCAGCCGCTATCACCTAGTTCGACACACACGAATTAGCAAAAACGGAACGAATCTGAGAATTAAGACGGACTGATTTTCGGGGCGATATAAAGGCACAGGTAGTTCGCTCCGCATCCATCTTTCCCTCGCTTGCCGGCTTACGCACGCCGCTTGTTAGAAAACAGCGTTGCTCTGACATCCGCCCTTCGTTTCTCCTCCGCCGAGGAAGTGAGGTACAACAGGCCGAACCTCACGCTCCTCCCCTTCCCGGAAAGGAAGGCCACGATGCCCTTGGCTGCTCAAACTCTCCCTCGAGCTCTTTAACGGAGCCCCACTTGCTCCTTGAAGGACGCCAACCTTTCCCGGCCCCCTCCTTACCAAGCGTGGAAAGGCAGTCCGAAAACCAACAGAGAACAACATGGCAGCAGCCACCCTCGCCGCCACCTCAACCCGGCTCGCTCGCTCGCTCGCCCGCCCTCAAGAGTCACGGAGACTCACTACCCTGGGCGCTCTCGCCAGCGCATGCGCAACCGCCGCAGTGAAAATTGGCGTGTTTGGGAGTGCGACGCGTGCGCTCTTCTTTTAGGCCCGTTATGATGGACGCTCGCTACTCATTATTGGAGAGGCGGCGTAGGAAATGCGAGGTTTTCCTTACGAAAGTGCGGCTGAGGACCGTGGAAGAGATCCGATAGGAAACCTGGCAGTCTCTTTTTCAGGCTGGAGTACTGATGTGTACTTTTAGGCTTGGTGGTGTTTTTTAGTCCCAGCTTGCAAAACCACACTTCTACAAAGCTGCCAAGACCGCCTTCCTGTTTCGTTGGAGTCTGCGCTTGAGATTAAGTTGTAGCAGCTGAAGAAAGGATGATTTCATCTCTGCCCACATGTCAGTAATATGGGCGGTAAAGATGACGCGAAGAGACAGCAGTAAATCGGCCAAATATGGCATCTTAGTTATACATAGAAGATGACTGGAGCAGATACCTGCTTGTTATAGTGTAATCTTGTGTAAAGCCATCTAAAAAGAATTAGGAGAACTTCTTTGCATAAGAAATTGAAAAGAAATTTAGGGAAACTTACAGTGCAGTTCTAGGCTGCATGAACAAAAGGATAGTATGAAGGTTACCTGAAGTGTTTACACACTATACTGCTTTGGAAACCCACCCAACCACCCTCTGGGAATAGTGTGGTCACCATAATATAAAAAATGTTGAAACTCTAGAAAGAAAGTGCAGAGAAGAGTAGCAAAGATGATTAGGAAGCTGGAGGCTAAAATATGAATACCCAGCAGGAACTGGGTATTTCTAGTCTTTTTTTTTTTTAAACAAACTTTATTGATTACAAAACCAGAATATCAAACAAACACAACACACACAAAAAGAAAAAAAAGAAATAGAAAAAAAGATGATTAAACTAACAATTCTACTATCGACAGTCTATGGTTCTTTGTTATCAATATTGGTGATACATTTACAAATACATCTTATTGCAAATATATAATTATGATTTACATTTTACATTGTTTGCTAATATATTTTCTATTTTTGTTCTATCCAGTCATACCAGCATTCCCAGCCTCTATAATAATCTGATGTTTCTTTTTCCTTAAGTGCTAAGGTTAACTTGTCCATCTTTGCACAGGCTGTTATCTTCTGTATAACCATCTCCTCTGTTGGAATATCTGCTTGTTTCCAACACTGCAAAGGTTATTCTGGCTGCAGTAAGAATATGCAGTATTATATATTTGACATTTTTAGGAATTTGTCTATTAAATATCCCCAATAGGAAGAATTCTGGTTTTAATTCAATTTGCTCCGCCATTATTTCCTCTAACCATTTTTTTATTCTATGCCAGTATCTTTGGGCTTCAGTGCAGGAACACCACATATGAAAAAATGTTCCCTGCTTCTTTTTACATTTCCAGTAATTCAGATTCATGTTAGGAGACATTTTCGCTATTCTCAAGGGTGAGAGATGCCATCTATAAAACATTTTATAGGCATTTTCTTTATATGCTGCTGATCTTGTAATTTTATTATTCCTTGTCCAAACCTTTTCCCATTCTAATAATGTAATGCTACGTCCTATGTTTCTTCTCTAAGCTATCATGTTGCCTTTGATTACTTCCTCTTCTAATTCCGTCTCTAGTAAATAATTATAAAATTTAGTTATATTTTTTTTTATCTGGACCTAAAAAATGTTTATCTATTTGTTGTGCCTTAGTATAAATTCCAAAAATTTTCTTGTCCTGGCTATATCTATCTATAGTTACTCCTGTCTCTCTTTGTGGCTGATTGTGCGTCTTTGGTTCTTCTCTCTCTTGATGTTGTTTCTTTTTTGAATTCCTACAATTCCCATCTCTATTTTTTGGGCAGTCTTGGTCGTCTTGCGAATTCATTTCTAACTTGTCTCTACTACTCGATTCTTCATGGCCTATCAATCGTTCATAGAATTCTTGGGCTTTTTCCATGGAGTCTACTTAAGTTTTTCTTTCTTCCCACGTGATTAGCATTCCCTCTGGGATTAGCCGACTAAATATGATACCTTTTTGGTTTAATTGGTTCGCCAAGAATTTATAATCTCACCTCTGCTCTCTCACTCTTCTTGGGATTTGTTTAAGCACCAAGATTTCTTTCCCTTTGTATGTAATTGTAATGTAATTTCTTCTCTAGAAATTTTGTATATCATATCTTGAACTTTCCTTTTGGCAAATCTCATATGGACCTCTTTTGGATGTTTATGTCGTCTTGCGTAATTTGTGCTCACTCTGTATACTTCGTCTAACTCTTTCAGAATATCGTCCTTTTTCCAATAGGTCTGCTAATATTCTTGCCATCCCTTGTTCTAAGTCCTCTTCTTTAGATTCCATTATATTTTGGAATCTTAGATATGCTGCGGCCTTATCCATTATCCAATATACCAAGGAGTCGTTCATTTCTTTACTCACATTTCTTAATTGCTGACCAACCATTTCCAGGTTCTTTTCCATTTTTTCCGTTCTTTTCTCAACCTCCTTTATTGTTGATTCATTCCTTTCTAGTGCTTGCTGTATTGTTTAAATTTTTTGATCCAACTTTAGGATGTCTAGTTTCATTTCTGCCTTTAAGTTTCCCATCTCTTCTTTTAGTTCATTTGTGTCAGCTCCTGATTCGATATGATTTTTTACCACTATTTCCTGAAGCTTCAGCATGGACTCTTGTAAAGTAAGAAGGGTCGATTGAATATTGGCGTTCGTGATGATAGGTTGTTTTTCTCCACATAAAGTTTCTTCAATTGTCTTGTGCCATCACTGAGGTTGATGGCATTGAAGTTGTTTGTATTGAAGAAGTCTTCTTTCCAGTTTTAAGCGTTGTATTAGTGATGGAGGTCATTTCTTGTAAAATTTGTTTTTGTTTTTGTATTATATTAAATATGTTGTCTCAAATTAACATTCACTATTAAGAAATATCAACTATAAATGGCCACTACGCTGAATAATATGATATGTTACAGGATTAACCTCTCTTATCAATATATATATATTTTCCAGAACACTTTACAGCTAGTTTCTAAATCAAATATCTGGATTTGGAAATCTTAATAACATATCAAATTCCTCTGTTTAAATTTAAATACTATTGACCTGTATATAAATGTTATAGAATCCCAAATCTCAAAATAGTGTTATAAAATAATATTTCAAATACTTACAAATCTAAATATAGATATATCAACCTTACTATACAATAATTAATGAATTAATCTATAATAATCACAATAACAATTATTTAATTCAATCAAATCAATGCCTATAATCAAATATCTATACCTAAATAATTATCACCTCCCTTTTTTATGTGTGTTACAACCAAATATAAACTACAATATTATTAATGTATCAATTAAATATATATAAATTACATTTGCCACATTCAAAAATCAGTTAAGTTGGTGTCAAGAAGTCATTGTTGCAATCCGCAAATTTAAAAGCTTAAAGTGTCTTAATATAATTGTTCAGTTCTTCAAGATTCCTTCACCGAGTGCACCGGAAGTACAGAGCTGCTGAGTAATGTCTCTGATTTCATTATCTCACCACACTTTCCACTGTAGTTGTTTCTCCTTTTGTTTGAAAGTTTAACAAGTCAATTTTTAGATTCAAATAGTCTCTTTAATAAATCTTCTCCACTTGCAACAGCTCCAGTCCAATAATCCAAAAGGAGACTAGTAAATTATTCAGTTTCGTTCGTGGAATATTTAAAGTTGTAATTTAATTCCTTACTTCAAGTCTCCCCCCATCTCAAGTTCGTCCTTCCAATTTTCCCCAAAGTCCACAATTCAAATCCTTAAAAGTTCCCTTAAATTAAATTATTGCTCTCTTCTTCTTTTCTCTCCCCCAATTATCAGTCTCTCAGATTTCTCCGATTCTCTTCTCTGTCCGATCGCTCGCGTCCTTACCCTCTTCCGTCTCACGAGCTCTTTTGCTTTCGCCGCCACTCGTACCTGCTTTGGCCGCTGTTTTGGGGCTCGCACTCTTCGTTCACCACAGTCTGTCACTCACTCGCTTCCTCTTGTATGCAACAATCAAGGCTTTAGGACCGCCATTGCTGACAGTCTCTTGTTGGTCTCCACAGGGTTTCTCTACATTGCGATAAGAATCACCTTTTCCACACAACTTGAGTCTCCCCACACTGGCGCACTTCTCTACAAGATGTGTGCACCCCTAAGGGTCACTCCAACAGCAAGAGGAGATAGCATGAAACACAGAGCGAGCTTCAGCACCTCCGTTCACCCATATCTCATCACCGGAAGTCCGGTATTTCTAGTCTAATTAAGAGGATTAGTGAGTGACATGATAGCAATCTTCTAATATTTAAGAAGATGTCACTGAGAAGAAGGAGTCAACCTATTCTCCAAAGCACCTGAGGGCAGGACAAGAAGTAATGGATAAAGTATCAAGGAGAGAACCAACCTAGAATTAAGGAGAAATTTCTTGACAGCAAGAACAATTAACCAGTGAAAGTGCTTTGCCTCCAGAAGTTGTGGGTGCTCTATCACTGGAGGTTTTAAAAAGATTGGAGAGCCATTTTCCCAGAATGGTATAGAATAGGGCTGTCAAACTCCTAGCCCACAAGCCAGGTGTGGTCATGACCATGCCTGGTTTAGCAAAAGGGGAAAAAGTCCAGATATGTCACATGACACTGATGTGAGTTTGACACCCCTGGTGTAGAGTCTTCTGTTTGAGCAGAGGTTGGACTAGAAGATTTCCAAGGTCACTTCCAACTCTGTTATTCTGCATTCTGCATATGGTTTAGAAGGGGCAGGCATTTTAGCACCTGTTGGCTACATATTGCCTCTGATTCCCATTTGGGAGACTGTTGGGGACCTCCCTTGATAAAAGTTGCCAAAATCAGTATCCTTTCTTCCTATTTGGAGATGTGAATAGAACCATTGTAATTTAAGTTCTAAAATATGCTTGGCATCATTTAAAAATATATCTGTATAATGCATACTATTCCAGAAAAACGTTGGACCATCATAGGAATGTCCAGATTGGGGTA